TATATATATATATATATATATGTATGTATGTATATATTATATCCGTTGCTTCCATATTATAAAACGTCCTCCAATGAAACTTATATAAAATCAAGATATCCTCATACGCAAAAATAAGTGAGTAGAGTAAGTATAAAGAGAGTAGCGCCAATTAGCCGAAAGTTGTCATTTGGTGCCATTTGGTCTGGGATATCTATATGACGCAATTCGTTGTCTTAACCTCTTCCTTCTTTAAAGTTATATTTCTAACTAATAGTAAGAACTTAATGGCAAAGCCAATCAGCATTAGGCACACACATTGGCGCTAACTCTTTATATCTATTTTAATGAGCAGCATGCTAGAGAAGCAAACGCAGAGAGGGGCAAATTGCATCACGTGAATGCTTATGTCCAATCAGGACGGAGGTCACGTGACCAGTTTTCTCCAATTTCTTCCAAGCCTATGGAGCTTTGATGTCCATGTCCAATCAGAGAAAACGGGTCATGTGATGCAATTTGTTTCTCCTTGAGGCTCTCTAGGGGCAAGCGGTAAGAAAGAGTCAATGGGTGCGTTCAAGTTGACAAAGCGACTAGAGGGTACGGTCAACGCGATGCTACTAAATACTTTAAAGCAATTTTTGATTAGTCAATTTGTAAAATTCTTTTTTCTAATTGGTCAACCAAACGCTTCAAAGCATTTGTAGTGAGACTTTGACCGCAGCCTAGGTCTATTCGCCGAGCAATTAAACATGATTGGTTGGATCAACAGGTAAGAATTAGTGTCATGTTCATTCGTTCGGGAAGTGGATGCGAATACCTATATTCCATATATGCAATACTCCTATATTGCTAAGGCCGAAATCAGACTACGCATTGAAGAATAAGATTAAAAGATTCAAGTTTGACCAATCAGAACAAAAACTTCTTTGTCCTCATTTGGTGAAATTTTAATCTTTAATCTTTAATCTCAATCTTCAATATATAGTCTGATTCCGGCCTAACGCAGCCTCTTTTTGGAAGTGAAAGGTGTGCGAAGATAGCGAAATAGAGAATATTGGATCTCTCATTTCCACAGTGTACCTCGAGCATGCGCTGGCATAAGTAATGAAGTCGTATTTTTGTTTCTTTTTTTTAAACACTTTTATATAAACAACAATCACGCGTATAATCGCATACGTAATATGCACTACGCAATAAATACATACGGACGCGGAGTTATATATGCTATGTTCTAGTGCTCTAATATGAAATCATGCTCTCTCCTTTCTTCAGCGCTCCTAATCATAAAAAATGTACCTTAGTTATTAAAAATTAGCTTTCGTGAAAAATTAGATGTTAGCAGCAGAGACAGGAGCATTGGCACTAAATACCTTGATGATATTGGATTCCTTCAGAACCCGATGTCGAACCGCGCAGATATCTTGGAGGTAAAGTAATAAGACAAAAATTTGAATAGAGAAGAGACCTAATATAGAATCAAATTTTCATCAGTAAGAGATGTTAATAGGAGAGGGTAAGTTAATAATAGTATTTAATTAATTTAGAAATTTTTTTCATATAATAGGTATAAAAAATATAATATTATAGATATAGATAGTTTTTTAAATATTTAATTGTTAATTTTTCGTAAAATAAAAGATTTAATTGTGTAAATTTTAATAATTCTAAATATAGATAATGGTAAAAAAATATGCATAATAAAGTAGTATATTATATGTAAATATAGATGTAAATATTAAAAATATTTGAAAATATTTTTTTATTTAGGTTAGTTAATAAATTTTTATTAATAATATTGAAATTTATAAAAGATAAGTAAAAAAAATAGCTAATGAAATAATTAGGGATATGGGATCTTATTGTTACATAATATAAGTATAAGAGTATGTTTATAAAAAATGTTAATATAAATAATGGTTTTAAATAACAGTTATTTTTTATATTTGAAATTAGTCTAGTAAAGTATAAGAAGATGATTAATAACGGAGTTAATCCAGCTTTCGTACGTACAAGACGTAATAATAAAATATGTGATAACGAAAGCTGGATTAACTCTGTTCAAACCTGAAGCCTATTCTACAATCTACATTTTGTTTCCTGTTTCTTGTTTTTTGTTATTTTTTACATCTTATCTTTTTGCTTCTTATCCTGTTTTTCATTTTTTATCGCTCGAGATAAAAGTAGTAATGAACTTCAGAAGAAATATTATAAGAAATACATGGTAAGAAATATGATTGTCAATAAAACAGTCAATAAATGCAAAGGGAAGAAAGCAAGAGGTAAAGAACAAGAAACATGAAACAAAGAGTACATTGTAGAATAGGCTTAAACCTATGACATCCTGACTGTAACCTTTAATCTCTGAGCATCTAGAATCCTACAGTACTTAATGAAAAAGAATTTTATTATAGTGTTTTAAAAAGCTCTTCGGGGTAAGCTACTAGAACATATAATGAAAAATGGAGAGCTCCATTTAAAAAAATTCAAAGTGACCTTGCCATGACACCGCCATCCAAAGTCAAACCAATGATACCTTCTTACGTTTTCCTTGAAATTATAAAACTTTTGTTTATAACATTTTTCTCTAAAATGCGTTGTTCAAGAGATATTTGAAGTGGGCAATTAAAATGGGACATCTTATATATTTATCTCTCTCATTTTAAGTGTAAAATTTTTTGGAAATTTCAAGCAACCCGAATAAACTTCATATACATTCCCACTTTCATTTTAATTGATAGCGCTATTGTGTGAACATCAATTAGAAGGAATCTAACAATTTCTAGGAACTTATCCTGTGCCGACGCTTAATAAAATTGACATATGTATAAAGACTGCATATAATTCATTGTATTTATATAAACAATGACATTAACATATCATAAAACGTGTATATAGCAATTATATGAACCGGTTTACCACATTTTATTAAGATTTGACAATCGGAATAATCTTCGGATATATTAATATTAATATATTGTGATAAATTAGTTATGCAATTAGCACATAAACTTCTACTACTAGACCATACCAAACTGATCATTTCGTCGCCATGTTTGATGCCAAGCCAAAGATATAGAGAATGCACTGCGCGATCTGTATTTAATGACGAATTCGATTGGAAGAACTAGTGCGCACTGGTGCATATTAAAGCCGTTGTACACTAATTTAATTTGAGTATAAAAGTGAAGTGCAAATTCGAATTATAAAATACATATTTACCTAATAGCACAATAAAATGTATCGAATATTTCAAGATTTAATTAATTTCTATGTTTATGTATAAACATTTCTTTACGTTATTTTATGTATGATAGCTTTAATGTGCACCAGTGCGCACTGAGTGCGCCCAATCGAATTCGCTAAGTAATATTCAAATATGATCGACAATAATGAGGGAGAAGAACCAAAAGACGATCACAATCTTTCTCTCATTTTCTTTCCCATTACACCATTGAAAGAGATACAGATTGGCCATCGTCCCTCTCTCTTTCTGATATAAAAACTTATGTTGTTTCATCAATTAAAGCTACGGTCCACTTGATGCTACAAATGTTTCCAAACATTTTTTAATTGATCAATTAATGAAATTTTTTTCTTCTGATTGATCAGTCAAATGCTTCCGAAGCGTTTGTAGCGCCAAGTGGACTGCACCCTAAGACTGCACCCATGTAAATACTGATTCTGTCAATTCAAAAGTGGCGATTTTAATATTAACGACGAAAGCTGGAAAATGCAGATTTGCAAGCATTATTGGACGAAAATCCAATACTATCCACTTCAGAACTTGTCAGAGAATTAAATATTGATCGTACAATAGTTATTAAACGTTTACGTATGTATTGTGATATATTGTTTAAATAAATCAGTTTTTGAGAAAAATCCTCAAAACTAAATCACACTCCTAATATAAAGTTGTCGCTTTAATAGTTCTGACACAAAAGTCATCGCGTAATCTTTTTTGAAACGGCTGGTTTGAGCGGCTCCTGAAAAATGCATCTTAAGATCCTGACTAGTCGCGGCGGCCATGTTGCGACGTCAGGCGAGAAATAACACGTTAATTTATACTGCATGCCATTTGTAAGTAAAGACAATTTAGACAAATCTAAATGACGAGATCGTTTTAAAACACTTGTAAAAATGGGCAAAAACTATTCTTTTTCTCTCTTAATAGTCAATAAAAGGCAGGTAAAATGAGCTTATATTCGGGCAGAAAACACGGTTTAACAGTTGTTAAAACGAGTGAAATATACACTTTTACGTATATAAAATTCCAAGATAAGTGTAGTTTCTGTCCATTTTTAGGACTTTCATAAGTACGAAACAAGTCACATTTTCACAATTAAGCAAATAATAACAAAATGACATGCAGCATAAATTTCGTCATCAAAACGTCACTTTTTTCATGCCTCTAAGTTCAGCCCTTTATCGTGGCGAGACGCTGTAACACACGCATGCACGCACACACAAGCACCGAGAGCACATGACGTACATGGCTCGTGCTTGTGAGTATGTAGCTACCGGTTTCGCCAGGCCGCCATCTAATTCTGTATCACCATCGTCAACACAGAATTCTTGGCTGAGTACTCAAGAGCCTCAATGCATAATATTTAAGAGAATTAACTATTTAATCTTTCCTTTCATGAAATGAAGAATAAACTGATTAGTTTATTCTCTTATGTTTTATGTATTATGCGTTACCCAAAAGTCTGTGCTCCAACCTTATATATACATAGGCATAAGTGACCGACAGAGACTTCTCAGTATTACTTTTGTTTTTTTTTCTATCATTGGTCTGTTTTCTGTTCCTGCACTAAACTGCACTAGAACTTTCTTTCTCACTTTCGACAAATATCAAACATATCTCACTTCAAGTTCCAAAAGTGTACACTAGTTCAGCCACAGAAAACAGACCTCATATACAAAATAATCGAAGTCAGCAGTCTAGTTATAGAAGTTTGTGGCAATTAGTCATCGTAATGTTCTAAGATTTTTTTCCGAGCGCCTTCTGTGTTAGCTCTGTCTTCTTTTGTTGCGCCATTTCTTTTTGCTTTTTTTCTTCCTCTCGTCGTTTTGCCGCCTCTTCTCGTTGTTGTTTAATTATAGCCAATCGTGCTAGGTCCGCTCGAGCTTCATCCGTTTTACCGGCTGCGTGTAATTTTTGATAATTCACATAGGCTCTTTGTTTTTCCAATTGTTCTCTGAAAATTAGAATTACATAAATCAATTTTTAATATTGAGACTGACATAAGTAATACACGCAATAAGATATGATTACAAGGATATATTTTCAAAAAAACATCATCAAAACATTATGATTATAATCAAAACAATCATACCGCTCTCTTCGAGATAGTTCTGGTTTTGCATCTAACGATTGATTCAGTTGAGATAATTTTTTTGTTTTCTTTTGTACCCTGTTTGGATTTTCTACTTGAATTAAATTCTCTACACCTTTTGCTTTTCCTCCCTATAAGAACAGAATAATTAATGAAATAAATTAATATACAAAAGATCTTTTTTAAGCTTGCGCATACACATGTATATAGATACCTCTGTTTCCGATTCTGATTCTGACTCACTGTTGCTATCTGTGGTGCTACTTTTTGACCTATTGGCTCCACTCGTTTTGGTCTCCTCATCATCTTCTTCTTCGCTCGAACTTTCCTGCCCTTTATTTTTCTGTAAATAAAGAAAAATTAACTTAATTTTCAGTAGAATATAATGTAAAAGATAATAGTTTATTCTTACCTAGGAATAAAATTCACTTACAAGGATATGCTCCCAGGTTTTCTCTCCGATTTTAATTTCGTGGGTTTGTAGAGGAGATAAAAATATTCGATGCATATTTTTTTTATTGGCAAAACTAAATATTCAAGGAGAAATTAATCCTCGAAAAAAGTGACCAAATTTATATTTTTTGGCTGTAACGTTTTTCGAACGAAGCAAGACAGCGTAATTTTGTAAAAGTATAAAATGTATATGTATGTATTTCAAGATGACATACGCCGAATTGCGGGAATAATCCCCAGAATGTAAATCTTTCCCCGAAGCTGCGTCATGATGCGATATCCACTAGAATCTCCTGCTTATGTGCGAATTCGGAGAGTACCAAGTAATATAGGCAAATACACCTAATTAATTTTTACATCAATGCATTAATTTACATAGATTTTAAAATTCTATATATTTTATTATATATTTACGAAATTACATTATCATACTTTGCTCAGAAGAGAATTTTCTAAATTGTAAAAGTGATATAAAAAAATTAATATTACCAGTCAAAAGATCATGTTTGAAATAGCTATTCTGGCTAATATGCCGATCGGGGGAGACCACTTCGATGATTTTGATCTTGATATATTATATTGTTAAAGTTATGATCCTGAATGATTTCTGAGATGTTTTAGCTGTCGCTGGTTATTCATTAAGAAGTTATTAATCAAAAAAAGTTTAAGAAATAAAAAATAATGTCTTATTTCTGCTATACGCAATATTAAAAACTACTCCATATCCTCTCTACTGTGGGGCGTTGGATTTTCTACGCGAAGCAAGTTCCATTCCATCTCCCCTCCCTGTCTAGAGACGTATGACTTTCCACGCGAAGCGAGTTGCATCCGACCTCCCCCTCTGCCTAGAGTCGCAAGAGACAATGTGGATTTTCGCGTGGAAAGTCTGACGCCTAGACAGGAGAATGCAGAGTAGTTCTTAATATTGTATAAAGCAGAAATAAGACGTTACTTCTTAAACTTTTTTGTTAATAACTTTTTAACGGATGACGAATTACGCCTAAAACTTCTTGGAGATCATTCAGGGTCATCGGAGCGGTCTTTCCTGATCGGCATGTTTACCAATTTGAACACAATACATCAAGGAGAGGAGAAAAAAACGTTTCAAATAGAATTTAAAGAGGCTCATCAGGTGAGCTATTTATTTTGAGATTTCGAGAATAATGAAAAATTCAACCTGTGCGCTTTATTATAATAAACATTTTTTTTTTAAATGTATTGTTCTCGAGATATTTTGTATCCAAGTTTGTGGCCAAACATATTTTTGCTCAACTATGATATAGAATCCATAGGATTTCAAGATTTGACCTAGAATACCTATTTCAAATGTGTTCTTTTGACGTTAATTTTTTTTATATCACTTTTACAATTTGGAGCATTCTATTGCCAGAAGTCGAAAGACTGATTCCGAGAATTATGTAATGGGAGTGTTTTCTATCATAATAAGGAATAGAGTGGTCAGACGGTTTGTCAGAAAGTCAAGCTTCGAAATGTTCGGATTTGGATAATGTTTGTTCGAAATTTTCAGTAATCAGAAAATAGAGATATATTTTGACAAATTTGGAAAGATATATTTAGTAGGATTTCACCTTAAACATTGACTGCTAATAAAAAAATACGTACGTAGAATATTTTTATTCCTTCTATAAGTCAACTGACTTTTACTATCAGACAGAGACATCTGTTAGGGATAGGGTACTTGTTATAGACTAAATCGGAATAATTCTGATTGTGTGTGCGTGCGTGCGCGCGCGCGCGCGCGCGTGTGTGTGGAATTATTTAATTATTTCCTAGATTTCTATTGTTTCCTAGAAACAACGGAATTATTCTGATTAGAACCCATTCCGAACGATTTTATGATACATGCTCTAGATGCTTTTTCATATTACTAATTGCTTATAATAATTTTTATATTTTAATTTGCTATATTAAATATTCTATATTAGTTATAAATAAATAAGATGTCAACTAATTTAAGAATGGATTTTATCCTAATAAAAAAATATTTATAAAATTATATGACGAAAACTTGCATAAAATTTGTAATCTACAGCTATACGTATAGATACATTTACAAAAATAAATGTAGGAATGTTGATCCTTTCAAAGGAAAACATTCAAAAAGTTTTATATGGCATTTATTGTCCGTTGAAAAATTATTAGCAAAAAATGTGTGTGTGTGCGTGCGCGCGTGCGTGCGTGTGCATGGCGTATGTATGTGTGGGTGTGTATGTATACAAGGTGTACAAAAAGTCTCGGATCCTTCAAATGTCTTGAAAAGTAAGCATTTTTGAGAAAAAATGTTTCAGATAAAAATTATAGGATTTAAAAAGATCTATTTACTGATTATATCCGTTTGATCTTGAGTGGCGTCACTAAGGTCAGGTCAAGGTCGAATACTATAATAAAATTAACCGACGATTGGACGAGTAATGCTAATATCGGCAGTACTATAACTTCAAACTTTATAACTTGAAAAGTACTTAATGAAAAATAATTATAGTGTTTTAAAAGCTCTTAACACCAGCTATTAGATTCTGGCATCAAAAATAGGGTGTGCTGTTTAAAAAAATCGATTTGACCTTGACTTGACCTTAGCGACGCCATCCAAAGTCAAATGTGTCCAAAGTCGGATGTGATCAGTGAATAGACTTTTTAAACCCTATAACTTTTGTCTGAAACATTTTTCTCCAAAATGCTTACTTTTCAAAATATTTGAAAGGTTCGGGATTTTTTGTACACCCTGTATATATAGAGTGGACTATTTTAATTTATCCAGTCGATTTTCTCAAAATCTGTAAGTTGACTTACACAGGTAAACCTGTACAGGCAAAAATGTTTGAAACAAAAATTTTATAGTTTCAAGAGGGAAAATTTGTCGTACGACGAAAACACAAATAAAATAGCACCCTACCAAGTGTTCCAAGGTGTAAGGCCAATATTACATGCATCCGTTTTTTTTTGTCGTATGACAAATTTTTCAAGCGTGTCAATTGGCTGCAAGAGAGAGGATCTCGGGCCTCTTTGTTCTATAATCAATTGATAGACTTGAAAAATTTGTTTTATGACAAATGCCTAATTTATGCTTCGATCTTAATTTTAAAATCCTAAAATTCAACCAATGGATTATAGATTTCAGTTAGGACTAATTAAGACTGGTACGCCTATTGGATTTTAGGATTTTAGGGTTAAGATTGAAGTATAAACCAAGCAAAAAAATGGATTCATGTAACGGTATAATATTTCATTTGTACGTTTTTGTTGTACGACAAATTTTTCAAGCCTGTTGATTGGCTATGGAATAGAGAGATCCGAGGACCTCTCTGTTTTGTACACATTTGTCCTATGACAAATTTTTCAAGTGTATTAATTGACTGCAAGATAGAGAGGATCTCTTTTTATTGTATAGTCAATCAAGAGGCTTGAAAAATTTATCATACGACAAAAAACGGATCCATGTAATATTGGTCTAATATTGGGCTAAGAGGTTGATATCTAAACTAAATAGCTTCGTGTCAATTAACCTAAAAATACTAACTCTCCACTGTTGCTTTTTTTCTTCTTGGCGCCGCTGCTCCTCTAATTCTTCTGGATTTGTGAAGTGCCTGTTCCTGCCTTTGTGATTTACGAATTTTCCTGTGCGACAAAGAACGATTAAGAACGAAGTGTACAGAAATCGTTTTCCTCGAAGGAACGCAGAACATAAGATGAATTAAGAAGACTCGAGATCAGAAAGGAGCATTTGTAAAAGGATACTTACCTCGCGGCATCTTAGTTCGTAATAGCACCGTAAATCACAGTAATGATTAAATATCGTAAGAATTGCGTGAATTTCCGATCCGCGAATTATATATGTCACATTACCGAAAGAAATACGAATTTCATAAGCCGCCTTCGAACTACACCAAAGATTCACTGAGATAGACCACAGTCGGAGAGAAATCTGAGAAAGCCTATGCCGATGTTTTTCCTATTATCGTTGAAATCGCCCGTACATTACCGCTAGCATCTATTTTCGGTTTGGGAACTACGTGGCTACATCTATTTTTGAATGTCGATAAAATCGTGTCGTCAAAAATGGATGTGGTTCGTATCTGTACTATATCCTACTACATGTGTAGTTATGAAAAGTAGTGAAATTGAAAAAATGTTTTTTTTTTTTTTTTTTAAGTTAAGTCACTTTCTTATTTATTATATAAATTTAATGATCGTTTTTACTTCGGATCGTAGAAATCTTGTTGTAGAATCATGTCGCAAGGAAGTAAATTCAGAAAAACAATCTAACAATAGAATAAACATTCAGAATGTCATATTACTAAATATGGAATAATGGAGAATAAGTTGAATCCTCAAAAGGATTCTCTATAATGGTATTTAACCATATATAGGATTTAAGTTTTAATAGATAAGATTTTTTTTACTACTTTTATATGTCATATCACATATATTGGGTCATCTAAAAAGTATCCGCGGTTTTTTGTCACTAGATGTGTGTTGATGGTCATATATCTAGTGACAAAGTACTAGCGGATACTTTTTAGATGACCCAGTATAAAAGAGATTTTATAAACTTTTAGTTACATATGGTATATTCTATGACTAATTAAGTTGATATAATAGGCGTATTAAAATTGTAAAAAGAAAAAATTCATGAATTTTTTTTTAGATATTAAAAAAGGCATACAATTGGAATAAGCAATGATTAATTTTAACTGATAAGATTGTATTGTCTGAATGTTGTTATATATTAGGTGTAGTAAAAAGAAATCCATTACTTTTCCAATAGATGGTTTAGTAATCTGTATTTCGCATTGTATAAGTGCGATCGGGTTACGCTAGATGGCGTTAGAAAGATAAGATTTCGTACTAAAAAAACTTCTCAGACAATTTTGTGATTGCTTGACTCAGTATTGTTTGAACGCGTGTCAAAGATGGACATTAGCAAAGAAAAAATACGCCATATTTTACAATTTTTCTTCGATAAAGGCGAAAACGCAAGCCAGGCGGCTGAAAATGTGAATAGTGTTTATGGTCCTGGTACTGTAACAGCCAATCACAAAAATGCAATTTTGGTTTCGTCGATTCCGTTCCGGTAATTTTGATGTCAAAGATGCACCACGCTCTGGAAGGTCAATTGTCGAAAATGTCGATAAAATAATAGAAATCGAGTCCGACCGTCATGTAAGCACTGTTTCGATTTCCCAGCCCAGGAGCTAAACATTGCACAAAAAACCGTTTGGAACCACTTGAATAAGGCTGAATACAAAAAGCTCGATGTATGGGTGTCACACGAGTTAACGCAAAAAAACCTCATGGACCGAATTTCCATCTGCGAATTGCTGCTGAATCGCAACAAAAATCAACCCATTTCTGAAGCGGATAGTGATTGGTGATGAAAAGTAGGTCACTTATGACAACGTCAAGCGAAAACGGTCGTGGTCGAATCGCGATGAGCTGGCGCAAACGGTGGCCAAGCCAGAATTGACGGTCAGGAAGGTTTTGCTGCGTGTTTGGTGGGATTGGTAGGGAATCATATACTATGAGCTGCTCCCCTACGGCCAAACTCTTAATTCGGACCTGTACTGTCAACAATTGGACCGTCTGAAAAAAGCAATCGCCCAGAAGCAGCCAGTGTTGGCCAATAGGAGAGGAATTGTGTTCCATCAGGACAACGCAAGGCCACACACATCGATAGTGACTCGCTAGAAGCTCCGGGAGCTTGGTTGGAAGGTTCTTATGCATCTACCTTATAATCCGAACCTGGCTTTAAGTGATTACCACCTGTTCCTGTCTATGGCGAATGATTTTGCTGGTGAAAAATTCGCCTCAAAGCTTGTGAAAATCGACTGTCCCAGTTTTTTGCCAATAACGAGGGTTTCTATGAGAGAGGAATAATGGAATTACCTTCAAAATGGCAATAAGTTATCGAACAAAACGGTGCATATTTGACTAAATAAACTTTCAATTTCATGCAAAAATAATGGATATCTTGTTACTACACTTTATATTATAAGTTAATGCGATATGAAATTGAAATTATTGATTGATCGTGTTCGTTTGCTTTTTTTATCACTTACTCTCCGCTTTGGTCTTTAGGAGCATTTTCTTTTTTCTTATTAAGCTGTGCACTCTATTTGTATTTTGAAGTAATAAACTTGTTTAAAACTAACAAGGGCTACAGTAAAATCTTATTATTGACGAAGAAAAATGATTATGAACATGCTTTCCTCCTATCAATACAAAAAAAGAATTTTATTAAATTTACTCGTATATTTACGATATTGTATTAGATTTTTAAAATAATATATTGTATTATTTTTTCACTGCTTAAATTGAAAATTATTGAAAGATATATTTCGTACATGCATAATATTGCATAATGAACATGGTTTTTTAAAAACTTTATTAATATATCTAACACATACATCGTGATTATATGATATTAATTAGTGACGTTCATATCAATCACATCTACAGAGAAAGTCTAAAAGTAGTATATGTTAATGTGTATTTTGATTGAATATATTCATGTCTGATTTTCTAATAATTTCTAATAAGCGCTTTTGTAAAAAGAAAGTAAAATATGAAGCAGCCTTTCAAAGTAAAATTTTAATAAATACAATTTATTGCAGTAATATTTCTTAATAAGAGTTCAATTTTTATATTTTTTTCGCTTCTCTTTTATGTTCTCAAACACTTTTGATACTTGTTCAATTACATTTCATTTAAGGAACTATGAGGGGATAAAAATGAATCGAGAATACAAATTTAATTAGAAGATAGGATTGGCAAAAGATTACTTTTTTGTTTTGACTTAGCCAGTGATCAAAATTGGTTCTAATCGAAATATATTTTTGTTTTTAAAAGCTTTTTATTTTTATTTTGATCGCAAACTCATCAGATGCCTTATGTATCCGAAAGTTCCAGCTTTAATTTTTTTTTCTTCTCTTCTTTGAAAGCGCTGATGAACACTATGTTCCGATATTCACTGCTAGTATTAAAGTCTATAGTGTATATAACATATACTATAAATTTTCAATATTGGCAATGAATATCGGAATGTAGCCATAATAGTGTAGTGTTAGTAATCAATTGTTAGGCGAGTCACTTTTTCACGTATGTGCATTCGTGTATAACAACACTGTACTAATGTACTCTTAAAATTCTGTTAAAGCCTTATTTTGACGTTTTTATGAAAATTATATTACTTTCTTGGAAAATGAATATGAATTATAGAGCAATATAGAAATTTTAAAAAGATTACAGATCCTCATTACCTGCCTTAATCCTTTTGCTGCCAGAATTTGGTTGATTCTGGTCAAAACTATGGACCTTTTAAAAATATGTATCATTTTGTTTTTATGTATGCAATAATAATAATGTTCGTTTTGTTTCAACTTATTATTTAATATCTATAATAATAAAATGTTTTTCTGAGTTAGTTTGATCTAATTTTTATTCTTTTATCTTTATTTTAATTCTGGGCTGGATTAGTTAAAAATTATGTTATAATGGCTATATTCCAAAATTGACTGTCTATATTGAAAATTTAATGCACGTAACGTAAATTGTAGTATTTTCAGCGCTGGTAGTAAATTTTGACACAATCAATAACAGCAAAATAAAATTTACTACATTTTGACCAGAGAAAGAGAGAGAGAGAAAAAGGATAGGTACCTAAAATCAATTTTGATCAAGTTAAAACCGCATTACCCAATTCGTTCCAACCATGTAATAGAAGATTGCTTTTGCGAATGAATGATGATCGAATAAAATGTTAACAATTTAAGATGACTAAATTAATTTATTGTTTGGCCAATGATTCCGCTTTTGCTACTACTTCCTCAATCGGACCAACCATGTAAAATGCTACTTCTGGTAAGTGATCCAATTCTCCAGTCAAAATCTTCTGGAATCCTTTAATAGTTTCTTGTAATGGTACTAGTTTTCCGGCATGACCAGTGAACACCTCGGCGACCTAAAATATTATAATCGACTTTTTAACGCATATCACATTATTAAATAAAGTACTGAATTTAGGTAAAATCTAAACAAAAATTTAAATTGCTTATTAAACAAAATATTAGGCTGTGTGCGAAATATGAGATGTGTGCAAGATTTCAATCTCATATATAAAATATGCCGATTGGGGGAGATCTCTTCGATGATCTGAACTTTGACATACGTTGTCAAGGTTCTGATCCTGAGTAATCTCTAAGAAATTTTAACCGTTGCTCGTTAAAAAGTTATTAACAAAAAATTAAATTAATTAAAAAATTTTTTTTTCGTTGAAAAATTCCCAGCTAGACAAATGTACATTTACAAACATACATTTTACAGCAACTTTACGTTTACATTAGAATCATCCAATGCATAATAGATGAGCCGATTGTGATTTGAAATATTGCAGCCGTATTAAGTAAATCAGAAATCAAAATACTATGATCAAATATCACAAAATAACATCTAAAATTCGACATCTAAAATTTTTTGAACATAATAAATAACATATGTCAAGGTCAAGGTGTCATCAGCGCGATGTCTGTTAATTCGAATAATTATCAAAATGACATCGATTTATTCTCTCTATTAATTTTAACGTATTCCCACATGTTTTCATGTAATTTAATCAATTTTTATACTTTTATTGTTTAAGTTTTTTTTATTACTAATTAAAAAATAAATAACTGATAAGTAATAGTAGTATATTGTGTAAAAAGTTGTCATATTACAAAAAGGATGTCATATTACAATGGTCGTCAAAAGTTGTCATATTAAATTAGTAATGATTAGTTGGCATATTAAATAATAATGATTATTTATTATGAATGGAATCCATTTTCATTATCATAGCAGCCGTATTAAAACAAAATCTGCCGAAAAACTGCGGAATAAAAAGTCAAGCTCTAATTGGCTGTAGCAATTAAACATA